TTCCTGTCCAGGGCAGGAGGACTGGGGCAAAACCCCCTCCGGGAGCCAGGCTGGGCTGGGACCAGCACAGAGAAAGAGCAGGGAGGGATTGCTGCGGAGGAAGGAGAGGGAGGGAGGGAGGGAGGGATGGAGGACACGGCCACAGCTCCATGTGTGTGCCCTCATGGCTCAGGGATGGAGCAGAATCCATCCCCTCCGGGCACCCCTGGCTCCTCTCCAGTGCCCAAGGGGCTGCCAGGAGCTGGGAGAAGGCTGGGAGGCAAACCTTAACCTCAATCCTTCCCTCTCCCACCTTCCCCTCAGCTCCAGGTTTCCTCCTTCTTTACTCCCACCTGAACCAAACCATCCCCTGCTCCAGCTCGGGCATCACCCACAACACCCCTCCGAGTGGGATGAGACCCCGGGGCTAACGAGGGCTTGGATCTTAATTAGCAGAGTGGAATTTGGGGGCTGACAGGGGCTGGCAATGCCAAATCCCACCACCCTCCCCAGGAGGGCAGGAACAGGGAAGAAAAGGCTTTTTTTTTTTCCCAAGGAAAACACAGTTACCGTGCGACTCCAGAGGCTACAGGGGGGGAAGCAACGGAGCAAAAGGCAACCAAGGAGAGATACAGTAACAGGAAATATTTAATTTTCCAATCTCCACTTCTCCATTTTTATAAACTGAAAAGAAAAAAAGATTTTAATATATTACAAAATATCTGTACAGAGACAAAGGTACAACCGAAAAAAGGCGCGCTCGGTCTCCAAAGGAAACTCGGGAGAGGTACAGTCAGAGTGTGACCAGAGGCTTCTCTGCTGGGAATTGCTACAGTGGGAGAGATGTCGGATTGACCCCAAAACCTGGATGGGGGGAAGGAGGAGGGAGCTGCCACCCCCTTCCCCCCGTTTCTGTAACTTGCACCGAGGCTTAAATCCTTTAAAATGCAAAAAATCCCCCTCCAAAACCAGAAAATCTTTTTGTCTTCTTTGTGCAGAGCGTTTGGGGAAAAAAGAAAAAAAAGGTAAAAAATAAAAATAGGGGGAAAAATAAAAGAAAAAGAGGTGGTGGGGGACAGGAGTGGCCCCACAGCCCCCGTGACCTGGCCAGGCTGGACACCCCCAGCCTCCCCTGCTCCCATGGCCCTGGCAGGGAGTGAAAGGCTCGTGCTGGGACCAGTTAGGAAAGGCCAGTGGAGCTGGAATTGTGTGTCCTCCTGGGGGGTTCAGGGGGTTTGGAGAAGGGAATGGTGGAACCAGCTCCTGCAGGAGCCCAGAGCCCCGTGGGGACAGAGGGCAAATGCAGGGAACAGACACCTGGAATGTCTGGCTGGGGGTGGGACAGGGAAAAGGAGTCCCCCCAGCCCCTTCCCAGCCCCTGCTGGAACAGGGAGCAGTGGCAGTGTCCCCATGGGGAGGGGGGACACAGCTCTCCCAGCTGGGAGAGACCACCCTGACCTGGGACCAACCACCCCAAACTGACACAAACACCCAGAACTGGGACCAGTGAGCCCCAAACTGGGACCAGTGAGCCCTAAACTGGGACCCCAAGGCCAGGATGACACTGGCACCGAGGAGGGGGCTCATTCCCAGCAGCTTTTCCTGGGAATGGGCCAATTTGGAAAGACAATAAATAGGCCTCCACGCCCCAAGAGGGTTGGGGCACAGGAACACGACTTTTCCTTCCAAATTGGATGGGATTGGGAAGGAACAACAAAAGCAGCAGCAGCTCCACAGCACCAAGAGCTGGCAGGAGCCAGGGGAGGGGAAAACAGGGAAATTCCCCCCCCTCGAGAGGTGCCTGGTGGGTTCAGTGCACTGTGTGTCTCACAGAACTTCTCTTTTTTCCTCTCTGCACATCAGGGTGAACTAACAATTAAACAAAAAAAAAAACCACCAAAAAAACCACCAAAAAAATTCCCACAGATTGACAGTGGGGATTCAGCAATTCAGCTCTTCAGCCCCAGCAAATAAAACCAAAATATATCCATTTCTATTGACTTTTCTCTCCCCTCCTTCCTCCCACGGCAGAGCTGGGTAAGGCAGGATTCCCCCAGGTGGAGAAGCATCACCTACTGAGGTGCATTTATTTAAATTTCTCTCTCTCTGTATAAAAAGAAATTAAATCCTGTTAGTAGCAAGGCCCCCCCCCGGGTTCCCCCCCTCCTCCTTTAACACTCCAGAACTGTCGGCTCTAAAATTCAATGTTTTCCATAGGAAAGGCCTACTCAGAAAACAAAAAAAAAAAAGCTGATAAATAGGTACCTTTGTTTTATTCATCTCTTTTTTAAGTCTCATTGAAATGAACAGCGCAAGGGTCCGCTGGAGGAGAAAACTCATCGTAAATACTTCCTTGACAACAACAAAAATAGAAATATGCTGCTAGAAATGATACAGGAACACCTGGAAAAAACCTCACAGGGCTGAGACGTGACCAACCTTGGCAGGGTGGGCAGCACCAGCCCAGGATTCCGGGGGCAAATCACTCCCATCTGGTGGCAAATCCCACCAGGAGTTAAGATTTTTTGTCTCCTTTTTTTAATTCTTTCAGTGTTCTGGAAGTTACAAGTGACAGAAATCCCCATTTTTTTTCAGGGAGGTGTTCGCCTCGGCTCTTAAAAAAAAATAAAAAATAAAAAAAACCAGGAAAAACAAGACAATTCCCACTGCAAAGTTACAGCAGGAGGGATCCAACCCTCAGAGATCCTTCCCAAAAAAATCAGTGTACTAAGGCTGCTGTCACAGGGGGCAGGATCTGGCCCCGGAGCAGAAGGAAAACCGGAGGCCTTATGGAAAGAAAACAACATTGGATAAATTGAGCACAACCACTGTCACATCCCGGGCCCCCACTGCTGGGATAACCCCTCCAGGTGCCTCTGCATCAAAATATTCCCCTTTTAATTTGTTTTTTTCCTTTTTTTTTTTTTTTTGTTAAGGAAATTGGGAAAATAAACCAACAAACAAAAAAATAAATCGCTTTGGGAAG